TTTTTTTAATTTTTATATATTATTTTTATTTTATGTAGATGAGTATATTGCCTACATGTATGTAAGTGCACCCATGTCATGCAGTGCCCATGGAAGTCAGAAGAGGGTGTCAGATCATCTGGGACTGGAGTTACAGATGGTTGTTAGCCACCATGTGGGTCCTGGGAACCGAACCCAGGTCCTCTGCAAGAGCAAGCAGCCAGTGCTCTTCACCGCTGAGCTGTCTCGCCAGCCCTGCTTCTTTCTTTTTAAATGAAAGAAAATGGATGCTGGGGAGATGGCTCAAAGGGCAGGAGTGCCTGCTGTACAAGCACGAGGATCTGAGTTTGAATCCCCAGTAACTCTACAAAAAAACCAGGCGTGGTTATGAGCATGCCTCACTCCTTAGTGCTTTGGGGTGCCACATCAGGAGCGACTCTGGGGCTTGCTGGCTGACAGCCTAGCTCCAGGTTCTTCAAGAGACCTATCTCCAGTGAGTAAGGAAAGCAGTGACAGAGCAAGTTACCCAGTGTCCTCCCCTGGCCTCCACAAATGAGTGTATGTACCTACACACACACGTGTGTATATACCATATAAAAATACACTACACACACACACACACGCGCGCACACACAAATGAAGGTCCCTATTGTTTTCAAGAGAAAACTCTGTAGTGACTTGCACAGTTGGCACTGTACGGTAGAGATGTTGGCATGCTTTGACGCTGATGCAATCTGCTGTGAGGATTTCCACAGTGTACTGTATTGAGCAAGTAGAGGTTGCAGAGGAGAGTCTGAGCAGTGCCTCCCCTAGCTAGAAAGGAGGGCCAGACAGATGCAAGAAAGGCCAACTCTAGCAGAGAAATGACTGCAGGCTTGCCCAACACACCTGGAATGCATCCTTAGGTGGACTTGCAAGACACACATCTCTGGGGACAGATTATAACATTTGCCTTGTTCCAAATTCAAAGCCTATAGGCCCTCAAAGTAGAGGAATAACATGTGCCTAAAACAATATAGTGGCCACTGTCAGATGGACTGCACCCTGCTCCTGCTGGGAACTGGAGTTTGGCTTGGTGGGATAAAGGAGGTCAAGGACACAGGCCACACAGAGTTCTGGGTCTTAGAAGATTGATCCAGACTTTCTGACTGACGGTGCCACAGAAATTGAGATCTGAGAGTCCTCCATCTCCATCTCCAAGCCTCATCTTGGAGAGACGATGGTAAACCCTAACCCTGGGCACCTCCCTGAGCATCATCCCACTGGGAGACATAGAGTGCCCCTATGCAGAGTTGCTGTGAAGTTAATGATGCTATGTCTGAGCACTCCCTTATCAGTCCCTCACATAGCACCAGACAGACCTTATTTTACATCCATCATTTTGCATCTTTTTAAAAGAGTCCTCTAATTATTTAAGATTTAGGTTTCAAGGTCAGGAGTGATGGCTCAGCAATGAAGAGCACTGACTACTCTTGCAGAGGACCCAGGACCTTGGTTCCCAGAACCCACGCGGCAGCTAACCACCATCCATAACTCCAGTTCCAGGGGATCCAACACTTTCTTCTGACTTCCACAGGCATTGTACGACATGGGTGCACTTACATACATGCAGACAATATACTCATCCAACTAAAATTTTTTTTTTTTGGTCTTTTTGAGACAGGTTTCCCTATATCCCCAGCTGTCCTGGAACTCACTATGTAGTCCAGGCTGACCTTGAACTCACAGAGATCCAACCTGCCTCTGCCTCCCGAGTGCTGGGCTTAAAGGCATGCACCACCACGTCTGGCAACTGAAACATATTTTTAAAAAGATTCAAGAGATTAGACCTACCACTGTCAATTTTCTTTAGAGCCAGGTCTTTTTGGTCCTTTTCCCAAAGCTCGGGCAGGACCATGACCCACAGCAGCCTTGGGACCCAGTGGTGGAGGGCTCCAGCTCAAAGTATACTATGTTTTCTGCAGCTCAGTGGAATTGTACCGTGCTGGGCCCAGGGTGCAGGGAAGGAAGCTGTTAGCTACAGAAAGTTCAAGGAGTCATCCTCAGAAATAGCAGGCAGACAAGTGGGAAGGCACTGGATCAAATGACACTCTAATGGTGTCCATATGACTCACTGATGGGGCATTTGGTGGTGACCCATGCTTGACCACTGCCTTCGAGGGGATTACTGTGATATAAGACACCATTGAACCATACACTTCAAAGGGGTGATTTCACAGTATGTGAAGTGCACCTCTTTCCAAAGGATGCCAGGAGCTCAGTTGCTGGGGCATGTTGTATTTGATTAGATCCAGAGGTGGCGGTGCTAGGAAGGTGCTGCTGTCACTGGGGTCTCTGGACTGCCTTCAGAGGGCTTGGTCATACCCAGCAAGGGCTATGCAGGAGTGACAGCATGCCTGCCACATCCTCACTTGTGCTAGGAGACAAGACAAGAACTCTGAAAACAAGCTTCCTATCCAGTTGGGGGTTCTCAAAGCCTGCTGAGAGCCTCTAGTTAACTGTGGATGATTGGTACTGTTTGCTGCCCCTGTCTCTGGCACATTCTTTGAGCCTGGCACATGTTCAAGCCAGGGGAAGAGTTAACAATTAACCAGGAGGTAAGAGAAGAGAGAAGGCTGGATATAGCACATGTATAACTCCTGGAACAATGTGCTGCTCCCTGAGCCATACTCCAGCCTTGTAGAGGTGGTCATAGGTGGGGTCAGGGCAGGTAAAGAATAACTTGGGCCTAGCAGAGTCACCCAAGTTCTGGTACAAGCACAGGTGTCCAGACACCAATAGCAAACACCTCCCTTCCCAGGGCCTCTCCAATTCCCCACCAACTGCAGCTCCACCACTTCCGGAGCTTAGGCCTGATTAGAGTACACTGAGCAACCTGTTCAACCCCTTCCCAGAAATGACCTGCTAGGGAGTACATGTGGTCATGGAGGGGCACAGAACAGAAACCACTGTTGCCTGTACACTTTTCTCTGAGACAAGGCCAGACACATGCACACACACACACACACACACACACACACACACACACACACGGATGATGTGCTGGTCACATTGGAATCCATTTTGTCCTTCCCTTGGTCTATACCAAGGAACTATAAAGGTGACTGTGGATAGACTAGATCCCTCAGAAGGCATGGATGTTTTGAACATCTCTATCTAAGTGTATGAGCAGCTTTTATAGGGCTCTTGGGTAGCAGCTGGAGCTGAATGGGATCTCCCCGCAACCTCCCCACTACACACACACACACACACACACACACACACATACACACACAGCCAACACCACTGTGTTTTAGACATCAAGTCTCAGTAGAGGACAAGAGTAGGAGCAGAACACTTATTACTATCCAGGATCACATGTCCAGTGAGCAACCTTTCTGAATGAATACCCAGGCCAGGACTTAGTGAGAGTTAGGTGCTGGGCTTCTGTGCCACCCAGGTGGCAATTCCTCATCCAACATGTCCCATGGTCATCAACAGAACTGCTGGGAAAGTCTTTGCATTTTCCAAATTTTTCCACCTTCAGGGCACAGCACTCAGAGGCAGGCAGATCTCTGTGAAATTGAGGTCAGCCTGGGCTACATAGCAAGTTGTAAGTTCCAGGTCAGCTGGGACTATAGGGAGATCCTGTCTCAAAAAACCAAAAAGAAGCTGGGCGTGGTGGCGCATGCCTTTGATCCCAGCACTGGGGGGGTGGGGGGGCAGAGGCAGGTGGATCTCTGTGAGATTGAGGCCAGCCTGGTCTCAATAGTGAGTTCTGGGCCACCTAGGGCTACAGGGAGACCCTCTCCGGAGACCCTCTCAGAAAAGAAAGGAAGGAAGGAAGGAAGGAAGGAAGGAAGGAAGGAAGGAAGGAAGGAAGGAAGGGAAGGAAAGAGAAAGAAAGGGAGAAAGAGGAAGAAAGCCCACAAAAAAGAACCTCACCAAAACAAAACTAAAACTAAAACAAACAAACAAAAAAAACCCCACAAGAAACAAGCAAGCAAATAAAACCAAGTTCCTCTGCCTGCTTGGCTCCATTCTGTGGACAAGACAACCTCTCTAGAACCCCCAGCTTGATCACTCATCAGCATGGCTGCTGAGTCCCCATACTTGCTTTGAAGACACTTTATAACTGTGGTCATAGGAGGGAACTTGCTGTCATGTGCCTCATGGCCTGTCTGTCTGCTTCCTTGTGCTCGGCTAGGTGCTCATCCCCTTCCTGACTGGGACCGTCATGCCAAGTTCAAGGGTAGTTTTCATTTTTTGAATTGGAGCAATATGCTTGGTGAACATTGGGAAGAATGGTTATAGTATCACAAAGAAAGGAGGCTAAAGACAGATGCCAAAGAACTTAGTCTGGAATACTCCCTGCACATGTCCAGGCAGAGGGTACACATGGTGCCTGGATCCTTTGATGTCAAGGGAGCTGTGAGCTGAGTGGGCCAGGATGAGTAAGGTGACACTCACTCCCACCACGTAGCATTCATTATATAGTCAAAACTGGTTAGGTCATTAGCCAGGTGTGGCGGCACTGCCTTTAATCCCAGCACAGGCAGATCTCTGTAAGTTCAAGGCCAGCCTGGTCTACATAGAGTTCTAGGCCAGCTGGGGCTACAGGGAGCCCCTGTCTCAAACAAACTGGTTAGGACAAAGTTACTTGGGAAGGTTGCCGTATCTGCGGCACCCTTCCCTCAGAAATTCTCTGTAAAAGTGTGGGAAAGCCAAGGGTCCTCATCCTCTCTAGGACTTGTCACTTGGGAGGTAGAGGCAGACGGATCTCTGTGAGAGTGAGGCTAATGATCTACATAGCAAGTTCCAGGCCAGATGGGGCTACAGGGGACCTCATCTAAAAATAAAAAACCAAAGCCCTTCCTTTGCTTTTCTCTTCCATGCAGATACGTGTGGTGACACATACCTGTATGCCCAGCACTAGGGAGGTTGAGGCAGGAGGGCCTCTAGTTGGAGGCAAACCTGGAGTCAAAGCTGCCCAGTGTCTTAAAAAAAAAACCCAACAAATAAATAAGCAAACAAATAAGACATTATTCCTTAGAAATTTTTTTTATTAAAATACTGTCATACCCAGTGGAATGCAGCAGCAATCCTGGTACAGGGTGGCGTAACAAAACGGCCATGTTTACCTTTTAAATATTCACGATAACTTAAACACACAGACACACACGTCATGGTCTTTGGCAGAAAATGTTCACAGCACAAAAAATACTTTAAAAGAAATACCAAATATTAATCCAAAATATATTAAGTTGTTTTTCCACAATGTTTTTGCCCTTCTTTTTCCTCTTTTTTTTTTCCTTTTATCTTTGTAAACAACGCACATGAGCCAAATGTATTTTTCAGCTTTAAACAGGGGTAGGGGAATTTAAAAAAATATGCAATTGTCCAGCAAATGCAAATGTTTAAAAAGGAAACTCAGAGAACCATGGGAATACAACAACATAAAGAATTTAAAAACAGTGAAGGAAAAAACATAAACAAAAATACCCAAAGATTCAAGGAGAGCGAAAGACAGTAAAGACGAAACCGTTAACATCCATTCATTGCTTTCTAGAAGCTGAACTGGGGGGAGGGGTGGGGACTTTAAGACCAGAAGTCAAAAGTCACTGCTGCTGGCAGGTTGCCAATGTGGGATGCATCACCCAGATTCCCAGTACTTGTCCTTGCTTGGGGACTGGGGCACCGCAAGTTTTGAGGAGCCAGCCTCGTGGGTGCCATTTTGTGATGGGGGCACCTTTGAGAGATCTTTTTGAGTTGGCTTGGAAGCTCTCGGATAAGTTTTCAACAGCATAGCTCCCTCTCTTTCCCAGTCCCTGTAGGTAGAAACTAACACATTTGAGAACAACTTGTCCAGTTTCCTCAGAGAATCTGGTGCTGGGCATGGCAGATGTTCTGCTAGATGGTGGCTCATTGCATCTGGCTCAGTTTATAACCAAACTGACAGTATGTCCCAGGGACAGGAGCTGTGGAGCCATTTCAGAAGGCTGGTGACAAGAGTCTCATGGGCACTGAATATAGGGTATAAGATGGTAGGGAGAAAAGGCAACCAGCATCAAAAGCCACTGGCCAAGAACTGGAGGCTGAGGAACAACTGGTAGGTCAGTCACACGATTTGGAAACTGCGGCAGCAAGGACAGGGAACATGGCCCTGGAAGGAGAACCAGAACCAGCACGCTTCAATCTTCTGTTCCCCAGGAAAGGGAATTATATACAATACACACTGTTCTGCAGTTCACTTGGCTGGCCTCGAACCCACTCTAAGCAAGGGGTGAGGTTGTCACTTCTGCAAGACTCATGCCCTCAACAGTCCCAAGATTCATCTTAGTGATCTGAGGAAGGCAGTAAGAACTGAAGAGCAGATGCGGTTGGCTGGGGCCATGCCACAGAGCCACAGAGCACCATGACTGCCTGACTGCTCAGCTGCTTCCATGGTGGTGCCCAGCCATCCTTGGGAATCAGAATCAGCTCCCCAAACCAACCAGACCCTTCTCTCTCCATGCCTGAGTACAAACTGTCCGGGCAGAGGGGGCTCAGCTTTCTGCCCCAGCAGCAAACGCAGACCCTGGATGGCAGGGAAAGGCTGGCTCTTCCTTCCTCATGGGCCCAGGAGGAATACGGGCCAAGAAGCAGTCTTTCGGGGGTGCCGGGTTCTCTCAACTCCCCTGCAGTCCTTCTTTCTGAGCTCCCAATAGCTAGGGGGAAGCGAGGAGCAGCATTTGGAGGGAGCTGCTGAATGGCAGAGGGAAGACCAGGTTTCAAGGTCTCCAAGGCACCACCTCTTTCCTTTAGATCAGTATCTCCACCATGTCCGACAGATCCTGGACCCGTGTAGCTACAGAGTCTGGAGAGAGACAAGACAGGTCCAAGCTACTGAGTATCACTTACTTGTTCTTTTCAGCTCCCAGTGTATTTCAAAGACAAGGTCTTTCACTAACTTTCCTCTCCTCAGCTGCTCAGGTCCTTAAGTTCCTCCTAATTTGGTCAACTAAGCACAATCTCTACTCCTTTACCCTCAGCTTGGGGGCCCAGACTGCTGAGCTCTGAAGAAGATGCCTGTGTTTAGACTCCTAACTGGCTAAAGGGATCAGAGAAGGAGTGCCCTGAGGGAGAGGGGCGGGCTGCTGCATTCTTGTCATGCTTGCGGTTTTCTAAGATCGGAGGGACAGGCAGCTATGCAAGGGTGAATATGAAATCAGAGCAAAAAAAAGGAAAGGGCTTCTACTCAAGTTTCTCCTTTCCAGACTCTTCCAAACAGTCTCCCAACCCAAGAGCACCTTGGAGTAACATGCCAAGCACCATCATCTTAGATGTCTGGACTGGCAGTGGGGTTTGTGAGGAACACTCTGAAGGAGGAGGTACCAGTGGCTTTTGTTGGGTTGTTTTCGTTCTTAATTCTGGATCTATATACCATGAGGGTTTGCAAGTCCTCTACTCATGCCTCCAACGACCCTCACTTCACACTATGGAGGTCCTCACGGCAGGGTAGATTTGGGGAGAATGGACTCTATGTTCTAGTTTAGACCCTAGTTTAGTCCTCGGCCCCGCCCAACACACAGGCCAGGGGACGCTCACCCAGAGAGGTTGTCCTCTGGCCACTGCTGCACCTCAGGAGGCTATCGGGCTCTGGGGCCAGGCAGGCAGAGGCATTGTCCGGAGGGCCATCGGTCTGGGTGCTCCCATCTCTGCTCCCGTGTTTGGTGTGGGCTGGAACAGGAGTTGTGGCTGCTGGCTCCTCTGCTGGTGCCCGATCTGTGGTAAAGACAGCAGGTTGAATGGTTGAATGGTTGAAATGGTATAGCCAGATACATGGTCCTGATGAAGAGCCAAACAAAAGGCCTACTGGGCTGCTCTTGATTTGCAACATTTCTAGTAAGACAAATGTGCCTGATTTTTGAAATGTTGGAGTAAGTGAGGTTAAGCTTCAAATGCTTAGAGTACTGGAATCCCTTCTTTGTAGCCAAAATCTAGAATTTGAATATTCCCTTATGAGCAGAAGGGGTTTGCCTAGATGCAACATGTGTATGAAAGTATGGGCAGTTAAGTGGCTGAGGGCTCATACCCTACATAGCAGGGTCACTGCAGCTGAAGGTTAAGCCAGGTCCTCTAGAAGAGGAGTCAGGAAGCCCTGGCTCCTATGGGTTGGGATTCTGGGAGGAAACATTTGGCAATCTCTTCAGACCTAAGAGATAAATTCCTCTAATTCCCTGCTAGCTTTCTCATACCTGTCAGCCGGGCAGGTGTATCAGCTTGCCGTTCACAGGTTGAGGTTGATAGTCCTTGCCAGCCCTGGGTCCCTGCTGCGGCTGCAAAGATGGATGGCACTGACTTGGCGGGTCGCAGGGCTCCCTGGGTGGCCTTGCCACAGTCTTTCCTAGAGCGCTGCTGAAGGACCTTGATCACCGCATCCTTCTCCAGGATCTGGGCATGGAGCACCTTCAACCTGAGGGGGAGGCCACACTGTCAGACCCACAGACTCAGCCCCGTCACCCTACCCACCTCACAAAAGTGGGAAAGAAAAACACCCTTATGACGCAGGCAGGACCTCTTGCCCCTGTGAGGGGCCTGCAGAATGTTACCACTGCTCTGCAATTGATGCCCTCTGAGCCTATCTCATTCCAAGAGTAAGTAGTTCTCCAGGGATTGGCCTCAGACTCACTATGCTAGCAGCAGTATGAAGGATCCTTCCAGAGAAGGGATCATGGCCAGAGACTGGATGGTATTCAGAACCCAGAGTCTCCTGGGCACACCAGGGATTCACTCTGGGAAACAGTATGCTTATAACTTCTAAGTGCCAAATACACTGAGCTGCTGGGGACAGAACAGAAGCCTCTTTGCCAGGGATGTACGATGGGGCAAAGGCTGCATCCCATCACCCAAAACCCCCACCTCAGATGCTCCTGCCCCATCTACAGTACCTGCTCTCCATCTCCTGATGCCTGTGGCCACCAGCCAGCAAGCCCTCATTGAAACTACTGCTAGGTGAGGGCTGGGGGGAGTGTCGGATGAGAGTGGTGTCACGCTGGGCAGCTGCAGTGGCAGCCGCATCCATGGCAAACTGTCTCATGGCCCTCTCCTCCAAATACTTCTGCTCCCATTTGGTCATGTCAGCCTCCAGCGCCAAGATCTGTTCTTCTTTTTCCCGAAGTTGTTCTGACAGTCGCAGGGCACTGAGTTCGGTGGACCCACCACTGCCACTGCTGCCACTGGTGGTGCTGGCATGCCTCTATAGAAAAAGGAATTCCATGGTCAAGGGGGGAGGCTGGGGTACGGAGGGGCCTTTGGTTCTCACCCAAGCATGAAGACTCTCACACATGTTTATTCAGCCCTTAACAGCACACACTTCCCCCCTTCCTGCTTCCACTCAGGGATATAGGAGATACGTCCTCACATCCTCTCCTTAAGTCTGGGACATAAGGGCACCTGTAACTAACTATAAAAACAATTCTCCTGGGAGTGGGAATGCAAGCAATAACGACACTGGGACAACTGGAGTCAACTAGAACAGAACTGGGCAAATAGTTTTGGTTCCCCTACCTCTATGGTAGGGAAAACTTAGGAGTGGAGGACAGGACTTTATTTGGTTTGTGAACACCAAGAGATATTTGGGATTAAATCCACATCAGTGAGCACAGGGACTCAGGGCTCAAGCAAGCACCTTCCCTCTTAGCTTTAGAAGGCAGGTGAGAGTAGTCCAGTCTTCTGCATGAAAGTTACTGACTGCTGTCTGGTATTGAAGTACCCATCTCTGTTACTGCTTGGGTAGGAGTCCTCAAGTCCTCCAAGCCTGAACACTGGCTGTACAGCTGAGCCTTTGCCATGTCAAGTGTCTGAGAGGGGCCAAGCAGTCAAGGGGGACACAGATCAATCACCCTTGCTTTCCAATGAGATGAAGGCTGGACTTGAATAGGGATTCCCCAGGGACCAGGTCCTGACCTCCTTGGATGCTGAGCTCTGCTGGCTGCAGTCTTCCCGACTCACCTGCTGTGCACGCAGGGCTTTGAGTTCTTGCTCCAGGCGTGTGCGCAGACGCAGCTCCAGCTGTTCCCGCTTCTCACAGGCGGCCTGCAGCTGTCCCAGTGCCTGCTGCAGCCGTTCCACCTTCTCTACATAGGCCTGCTTCTTGCGTAATTCCTCTTCAGCCCGGGCTGCACGGCCCTGTGCATTGCCCAGTGCCTGTTCCAGCAGCTCAGCACGCCGCCGCTGGTCCTCGATGGCACCGCGTAGCAGTGCCATCTCTCGCTCCAGCCTCTCCTGCTCCTGCTGCTGTTCGTAGCCTGTGGGGAGACATTAAGGAGTGGTCAGCAGTGGTGGCCATCCTCATTCCCTGATGAGCTCTGTACTGACAACTGCTTCACATCCTCTTTTTGTTTCTTTGAGACAGGGTCTCCTTGTAGTCCCAGCTGGCCTGGAACTTCTATTAGACCAGGCTGGCCTCCACCTCACAGATACCCAACTGCCTTTGCCTCCCAAACTTCTCACCCCCTTGATACTCCTAGCAGTTAGGTACTGTGATTAATACCATTTTACAGGATAGGAAAGTGAGATGAAGGTTAAGAGTAAATGGCAAACACCTGGGCATGGTGGCCCATTCTTCTTAAATTCCTCATATAATGAGAATACTTATAACCCTATTATTTAGGGGAATTAAACCATTTTTTGTTTGGTTGGTTAGGTGGTTTTTGGTTTGGGTTCTGTTTTTTGTTTTTGTTTCTTTGAGACAGGGTCTCCTTGTAGTCCCAGCTGGCCTGGAACTTCTATTAGACCAGGCTGGCCTCCACCTCACAGATACCCAACTGCCTTTGCCTCCCAAACTTCTCACCCCCTTGATACTCCTAGCAGTTAGGTACTGTGATTAATACCATTTTACAGGATAGGAAAGTGAGATGAAGGTTAAGAGTAAATGGCAAACACCTGGGCATGGTGGCCCATGCCTTTAGTCCCAGCACATGGGAAGCAGAGGCAGGCAGATCTCTGAGTTCAAGACCAGCCTGGTCTACAAAGTGAGTTCCAGGGCAGCTGTGGCTACAGGGAGACCCTGTCTCAAAAGAACCCCCCCCCCCAAAAAAAAGAGTAAATGGCAAAGCCCGACTTTATGCCCCCTGCAGTAACTACTAGGCTACATGGCTAAAACATATTCAGTTTCCCTGGAGCTTCATGATCCCTAGAGATGGGTCAGGTTGGAACTATAGTGCTCATTTACAGATGAGGATACTGTAACATGGATGCAGTTTACTGCCATTGTTCACGTGGGAAGATGAAGGAAGGGGCAGGTACTTCGACATCTTGGTCCATTAATGATCCAAGTAGGAACTGTGGCACCCGATTTATAGGGGAAGAAACATGAACTAAGCGGCATGGCTGAGAAGCCCCAGCTGTCTGGGGGTATGTGTAGCCCTGGCTCCTACAGGTTTGCCAAAGCAGACCCTGGAGCTCATTCTGCATTGTCAGATCTCACCTGTTGCATATCCCATTTCCTTCCATAGTCTGGGGACCCACAGGTAGGCAGGCAGGTTTGTAATGGAATTCAAGCCCTGCAGCACAATGAATGACTCTAGGCCAAGACCTATGTCCAAGATTCCAGCTATCCTGGTTTGAGGGAGCCCTGCTCAGAACCTCTCCATGTAGCCAGAGCAGGGCCAGACCACAGACGCCTCTAAGGTGATATTCTAGGCTTAAATCCACATCTAAGCACCTGCCCCGTGGAAGTCTCAGCCTGGACACTGAGGTGCAGATGCCTACTTCAGGCAGGGAGCATGGGCACAGCACTGTACTCTAATGGAAATTTCCATGGATTGTTCTATACTATTTCGCTCAAAACAGTAACCAACAGGCCATATACAGCTACTGAGCATTTGAAACGTGGCTGGGAAGGACAAGAACTGACCGCTTCATTTTACTTGATTTTGGTTCATTTTATTCTTTGGGTCACATTTGTGGCTAGTGTGACAGTGCCCTCGCCATACAGGGCACATATTGACTTAGGGTCCTGAGGTAGTGTGGGGAAGGGACAGGGGCAACCCAGGTCAGCTCCTAGCTCCCTCTGCATCTCTGAAGGCTGAGCCAAGCCTAGCTGGCCTCATTCTCTGGTGTGGAGGGAAAAGATCAGGCTGCCCAGAAGACACTGAAATCCAGCTGTTGGTAGTCTGTTCGTTGAACATCTGGTGAATGGGATAGAGGGAGCCAGCCAGGTTGGGATTCAGACAGCACCCCTTCTCCCGTGTGGCTTCACAGAATCCCACAGCTTAGTGCCCGTACACTACATGTATCTCACTCCAACCAACTAGGAGGTAGACAGTGATGTTACAGTTCAGAGGTGACACATGACCAAGGGGGGAGAGGGTTAGGAGTCAGGCCTCAGGGCCAGGTTCTGAGGGAGGGCAGGCCTGACAGGCAGCAGCACAGAAGGCTGCTATGGCTTGCTTAGGGAAAAATAGATGGCATTTGGCCTCTACATTTTCTCCTCACAGGGGTTCTGTGCCCTCCAGAGAAAAAGGTCAGCTAACAACCTCTGCACTCTGCATTTTGGAATGGTGACTATGGAGCAAGAACGAGCTGTTTGCGTTTCCTTAAGCTCCTGGGGCTGTAGATCCAGTGGATCTAGACTTTTGCTTCCAGAAGTTTCCTGCAGCCTTGTACAACCTCTAAGAAGCCCTGGTGGGACCTGGGGGACCCCAAGGACCAAGGATAAAACAGGGCCCATGAGAAGAGGCCTGCTGGGCCCCCCACCTCCAGGTCCAAAGGGCGCCACAGGCAGGCGCGGAGGGAGGGAGCGGCAGAGGGGGGCGGGCCGGGAGCGGAACAGCCGGGGCTCTGGAATGCCAGGCATCCAGGTCACCCGCGGCTGAGAGATTAATGGCTCCAGTAAGAAGCCAAGAACAGCCTGGCGCTAGCTGGCTCCCTGGGGAGCGGAAACGCCTCCCGGCTGCTGCTCCCTCCCTCCCCTCCCCCTTTAACAAGCTTCCAGAAACCCTCCCAGAGACTTCCTTTCTTAGCCAGAGCAGGGCCCCAAAAGCTGGCCCTTCCCACCAGGGCACCCCAATCTCCTTTCCCCTAGCATACTCCCAAAGGCAACCTCTAGGCCGCTCCCACCTTCCCCTCACCGCCTTTTAGCCACGGTCAACTCCTTTCAAAAGGTAAGTAGAGGCCAGCCTAGACCCTGCCCAATAGGAGTCTATTCGCTGTAAAAGGTTTAACAGGAAAGGAAGGAGAGGAGGCCAGCCAGACTCAGTCATCCCTCCCCAACTCTACTCTGTGAATACCCTTAATGTGTGGACTCCCACAGTAAATGCCCTTCCTCAAGCCTTCTTGGGCAGAAGGCCACCATTCCCTCTGTCCTGACTGCCCCCCTTCACTGCAGCCATGCTGCTGTGCTCCTTCTCTGGTTCTCTCTTGCTATTCCCACAGATTCCCTCATTCTTGGGCCACCAGGGATCTCCAAATTACCCATCTCCAGGATCATGAACACTACCTGCTTGATTCTGTGGGAACCTGAGCCTGCTTTAAGCTTATCTCACCTCCTTGACATTTCGAGTGTGCTCCTGGCCTCTGCTAAATACCTGCCAGATCCTTAGCCCAATTCCACTAGTGAACAAATGAATGAATGGACTGGTTGATAATGTCACCTACCCTTCTCCTCTACCTGGTTCTCCCCCTTTACAGAGAAGTCTCGTGAATGTCTCCTTTAGACTATCTGTTGATTAAGCTCTGAGAGCTCACTTGTGGCTATCTCAAGTGCCTCTCTCTGCCAGTTCCTCTGCCAGTTCTACCAGGCCCAGCCTTTTGTTGCCTGGAATTCTGTAGGAAAGGCTCAAATTCTTTATCCTCCAGTATCTCAACTGTGGTCAGGGCCATCCTGGCCTCCCTGCAGGGGGCACCTGTACTGGGGACCAATACTAAATGAGTCAGTACCGTGGCTCAGCCAACCACTGCTCTACAGCTTCCCAACATAGACCTACATCCCATTCTTTGGAAGCCACCCCTTCCCACAGCAGCCATTCAGTAAACTTGTGCCCAAAGTATTACTCTTCAAGGAAGAGAGAGGGTCAAGCCTCAAAGGAAAGTGAGGTTCACAGTGGTCTCACTGCCTGTACATCAGGCCAATTTCTTAGCAGGCTCTCTACTTACTCTGAGCAAGCAACTTGGCCACCATGTCCTGACTGCCCGCCTGGGCTTCCTGTGTCTTGCTTGCCAAGTGGCGGTTCGCAGATTCCAATCTTTCTGTTTCAGATAAGGAGAAAAGAAAATTGTTTTAGTGTCAAGGGTTGCTGCTGGCTTGGAGTTGACCCTGGGGTCCTGAGCTGGGAATGGATTTATAGGGAAGCTCCAGCTCAGCTCAGGGGCTAATGGTGGGGACTCATGAGGGTCTCTACAGCACAGAACATAGAGACAGGCTATGAGGAACACAGAGATCGTCCCTTCAGGGTGGCTTCCAGAGCCTTGGCCTAGTGTCTGAGCCAGTGTGCAGAGAACAGAGATTCTGAATTTTCCCCTAGAACAGAGAACTCAATAATATCCTGCAGCTGTCCCCCAGCTCCGACCAATGCCCCTGGTTCTCACCTCTAAGATCACGGTTGAAATCCTGCAGCCGCCTCATCTCGCTGTCCACCTTGTTCCGCATGGTCTTCTCCAAGGCTTCACGCTTGGAAGAGGTCCTCATCAGGCTCTCATGGGCCTCAGAGAGCCGCTGGATTTCATTCTCCAGCTGCAAGTGAGAGACAATAAAGCTAAATGAGACGAGGACTCCCAGGGAGTACGTGAGGCCAGGCTGTGTGATGGGAAGATAAAAACCAGGAGCAAAGACCTGGTGGCTCTAGTGAGATGATCGGAAGCCTGCAGCTTCTGAAGGTGGGTCAAACTACTGGGACCAGCAAGGGTCCTGCTAGCTATTCCCAAAGACTGGATGCTGCCAGGGCTTAATACTCTATGCATTTTACTTCTGCCTGGTTCAACCTAACACTGAAGGAACATTCTGGAAGGTCTGTGGCTATTGCTAAAGCTGAACCTTAGTGCACAGCTGGCCAGACTTCACCAAGGAAGGGGGTGCCAGACCCCAGCCCGAGCTGCTTTTGCCTGGAGCATGAGGCTGCCCTCCTACTTGGAAGCCACGGGTCCTGCACGTGCTCCTAGCTAGCTTGCCATGCCAACACGTTGCTTTTTTATTTTCTTCAAGAGGAGGGGCTTTCACTTTGGCCAGAGTTGGCCTGGAACAGACTGGCTGTTGTGTGGGTGACACAAAGGGCTCTCTGTGGGAGGTGTCCATGGGAGGGGGTTGTGCTGGGCGAGTGTACAAGTGTGCAGGGAGCTGGTGAATGAGTTCTTTCTAACCACTGGCCAGCAACTGCTCAGGCTGGAGGACTGTTCCCCAGCTGTCTGGAGTCAGCTTGTGGGTTGGGGGGAGGAGATGCATGACGGGTAAAGGATACAGGACAGAGGATGGTGCAAGGAGGGCTGCCAGGCTCCTTTGCCTCTGTCTGCACTGCTCACCCCCAACCCACTCCATACCCCAGCAGGGCCTACCTTCTCAATTCGGCTAGCCTTCTCGGTGGAGCTCTCCAGTTCCCGCTGCAGCCTCTCATTGTCCCTCTGCAGCCTAGCATTCTCCCTTAGCACAGTCTCCACCTGGGCCAGGTGGGTACTGCCCGAGGAGGCCTGGATACTTGTTGGTCCCTCCACCGCAGATGGACTAAAGGAGCCCAGGGGACCATGGCCCAGAGCAGCTGGATGGAGGGGTGGGGAGTGCTCCTGGGGCTGCTGCAGGTACTGGTACTGCTGCTGCTGGAGGAACACAGGTGGTACCTGGGCCTGTAGGATCCTGAACAGAAAAGATGACGCTCAGAGATCAGACACACTCCCTCAGCTAATATTAACACATTTCCAATATCATTGCTTGTGACTCAGCCTCCCCAATGTTAGGTAGCCACCAGTGGGGCCTTTTCCACGTAGTATCTCCCTGAGACCCAAAAAGACCAGAGAGGGTGAGGGGTTCGAGGTGACCCCTCCATCCAGCTGCTCTGGGCCATGGTCCCCGGGCTCCTTTAGTTCACATTAGGAGTTTGTTTTGTTCATAGCTGCTAAGGTCTTGGGGTCAGCCTAAGCAATAGTGGACCTCTTAGCATCATTTAAAATGAACCCTTGACCTTTCTAATCGATTGAAGGTTCTTTTGGGGTATGGAGGTTACAGAGATTGCTAGGGTCTGGGACCACTTACTAGTGGCTGGGCCCTGGCAGCTACTCTGTGACAAGCCATCAGTTTTAAGTCTACCAAAGCAGCTCACTTAAGTTTTCTGTTTTCAGGATCCAGCCACAACCAGCTGCTGAAATTCTTTTAGAAGACTCCAGTTAATGTTTGAGCAGGGAGGCAGGTGCCAGAGTAAGAGTTTGGGCTCCAGTCTGACAAAGAGGGGTGCGGATTCCAGCTACTGGACCTTGGATATTTACCTTAGCTGCACAGTGTGGCTTGTCTGCCAAATCACAAGGGTCTCTAGCCATAAAAGCAGGACCTGGCAGAGTCCTGGGCAGCTGACAGGCACCCCCACATCTGCAGCTAGCCTCTAGCTCTGCTGATAGGGACCTCAGCTCGAATACGTGGCCACCTCTGGGGTCCTTCAGCAACTGCACTCAGAGGACAGTGTTCTGTAGGCCCCTGGCACAGGCATTCCACACCCTGAGTCAGAGGAGGAACAGAGAGGAATAGAGTAGGAGGGGCTTTCTGGGGTCTTCTGACTCCGTGTTACAATGGCCTCAGTCGTACTAAGAATTTTCCAAGTTGTAGAAGCTTCTTCAAAACTAAACTTTACTTTGGAGTCTGTCCCCCAGTGCTCATACTCACTCCTCCTGCCTGTGGCTCCCCTGCTCTTAGGGCCCCAACCCAGTTCCCAACAAATATTCCTCTCTGATTAGCTAAGGAGAGGCCTGCACTGCAGGTGCATTTTCTTACTAGCCAAGGTCCAGCTCTGGGGAGAGCAGGACAGAGGGTCCCCACTGATATATTCAAACTTTCCCTGTCAAATGTGATCATTCTCTATGGCTTCAGAAATGTGCTGCTGCCCCCTGCACAGATCTGGGTGGACACAAGGGCATTCTTTGGGAATGATTTAGCTCCAAGAAATAATGGCGACTCCTTTCCTTTAACACTTGCTTTCCCTGCTCCTGGCTCTGCTCTATCCTCCACCCCACCCCTGGCCCCCACCTTTTTGTTCTCCTGCAAACAGTCTATTTCCTTGCCTCAATATTATCTTTTCCTGACAGGGTTCAATAGGGCTGGTCCAAAAGAAGAAACCACGACTCAGCTTCCGAAACTCTTCCTGACTAGCCCTGAGAAGAGAGATAAGGTGGGAGTCTGAGCGGGTGGGAGCTGGAGAAAACCCATGAGGCTCCAAGGCTCCATCCTCTGGTTCCTCCATACCAGCAGCATCACGTTGCTTTTTTCTTGAGAGCAAGGAAAACCAATTGGTGGGAAAGTGAGTGACTAAATGGAGATTCAGCAGAAGAGAGTCAGACTTCAACCTTGAGCCCAAAAAATTTGCAAATCTTTGGGTCCCCCCTGTGGGATTTCCTGGAACCCTCTGCCCTTGTCCCAAGGAAGATCCATCAGTGGCTCATGTGTTACTTTCTCAGGATGCTGGGGCCCCTGAGATGACTAAAACACATCCTCATTTCTAGGAATCTGTACTTCTGCAATGATCTGCCTCTCCTTGGGCTACCCGCTTCCATCTTGGCCCTTTCTACCCACTCTCTTGTGGCAGTCATGTGGTACTGATTTACCTTTTCCCAGTCCACCAGATCACATTCTCCTACAGCGTCCCTTCATTCAATTAAGCCAAGTAGCCATCTCCCAAAGGGCTCCTCACCTGGGCCCAGAATCCTCACTCATCCAGATTACAAACGCAAGGAAAAAACATGAAAGTAATCAACCAGGAGGCAGGCCAGCCGTGCCAGAAAGAGGGGACCCTTAGGTGGCCATCTAGTTCTTTCAGCCTCATTAGTAATGTACCCCCTTCCCCAATGATCACAGAAAAATTGTCTACTACTTTTCTTAAACTTCCAGGGGAAGTCCCACCTTTGGCCTACTTGACTTGGGAAGAGTTTGGCAATGATTCCTATTCTTTGTCTTTAAGTTCTTTCTAAAAAAAAAAATCTCACCTTTAAACCCTGTAACAATCCACATCCCCTGGGAACCTTCCTTACTTGAATGCTACAGACAATACTGTCTTTATCTGGGTTGAAATAATGAAGCCCAGCAACCTTTTCCCCTCCTTGAGACAGTCTTGCTATGTAGCCCAGGTTGGCAGTCAACTTGTGATTGTCCTGCCTCACCTGAGTGTTGAGATTACAGGCATGTGCTACCTCAACTGTAACTTATGTGAACCCAGCTTAGTCTCTCCATCCTCCATCCCTCAGCCCTTCCTTCTCAGAGAAGAGGGTAGAGATCAGATAGCCCTTAGAGCTTCTGAGGATGCAGTGGGGTGGGGATCTTGCCAGTGGGCTTTAAGGTATGACCTTGGGGGTCTTCTTGTGGGAGAATGCACTGGAAGAAAGCCAGGGTAGGGCAGTTACCTGACTTCTGCATGTTGGAAATGTGGACTGCCTCGGGCTCGGTATCTTGGGTCAGTGACAGCCGTAGTCTCATGAGCCAGGACAACGTGTGGGTACTGAGGTGGGGGCCCACGCAACTCTGGGCCTTCAGCAGGGGGGCCACGGGGTGGGGGCCCCTGCTGGCTGCGGGCCAGCTGTGGAAAGCTGTGGGAAGAGCTCATGTGGCTGGGGACCCGAGCACCATTCCTCTCCAGGGACAGCTGCAGAAGTCGTTCACTCAGGGACCGCACATGGCCATGTCTCAACTCCCGCAGGGCTTCATCCTGTCGCCGGTTGCTTCCTGATGCCCCTCGAGGATCCCGGTCCCCAACATGGGGCCGGGGCCCTGCCTGCTGAGCTGCGTAGTACTGTGAGTGGGCTTTGGCCTCCTCATAGGTGGGTAGCTCCTCTCCCTTGCTGGGCTGTGGGCACAGCTGGTACAGCGTGTTCTCTGCCAGGTGGGCCTCTCCACCCTGGTGCTCCTGGCCCTGGGGCTCCTGCCTGGTAGCCTGTTGCAGCACCTGGCTATCTTCAGGTACTCCAATCTCCAGGGAGGCCTGGGGGCTCCCTGTGCCCCCAGCTGCAGCCCCACCCCTTAGAGCCTGCTGTTGGATGGCCAGCAGAGTGCGAGTCTCTGTCAGGTTGCCATAGCGTAACTGCTCCTGAATGAGGCGGTGCAGAACTGTCCCTGAGGAATCCTCCAGTGTCCTCATACTTCTCTGGTTTGTAGACACCAGCCTAGACAATGGCCAGCAGGCACCTGGCCCTAGAGCACCTGGCAAGAGACAGGTAGAATAGCAGTCAGTAGACGCACAGAATTGAAATTTGGGATCTTTCCACAACAGTCTGGGTGAAAGAGGTTAGGTAGGTGGTTTCTCACAACCCCAGATGCACATGCTAATGTGGCCATCTAGTAGTGATTAAAGTAAGTTCCCTAGCCTCTGAGACTCAGACTGTCTGGTGTGCTATAAATCCTTGGCAAATGATTACCACTGTAATGATATTCATGGAGACTTAACTAATCCTAGAGAAATACAACAGGAAACCAGAAGGTAATCTAATAGGGACCATGATGCCCTGCAATCTTAGCCCTCCCCCTTTAACAAACAGCCTGATGAGTGAGTCTACAGGAGGCTTAGATCAAATTCAACCACTTAGCTGCCCAGGTCCCAGTTTATTGATGATAAAGAATGAGTGTAGTCCACTGGAAGACTCAAGCAGATGAACCCAAGGACCCTCTAGCATGAAGATGCCTGAGCCCATACTAGCCAGAGCTACCCTCTGCTCCCTTTGCTCTCTGGAACCAGTTCCTGGAGGAAAGATTCTGGGCTCCGCCTTATCAAAGGCTTCAGATGAAATAAATCTGAGAACTCCTTGTCATAGATGACCTTGGCAGTCATTCTGCAAGGTGAAGAGGGCAGAGAAACTATATGTGAATTGGCCAAAAGGGGCTGAAGAAATGCAACAGTAGGACAATGACTCTAAGGACCAGAGGTGCTACCTAGTGTGTGCTTGCGGTAAGCACAGGAAGCAGCGAGAAACGCCTGATGTCCTTGGTTGCATGATCATCACCTCTTCTAGGTACACACATGTGCCACTTAGAAAAGCCTCTACTTGTCCTCTAGGCACACAGGGAATGGCCCTCATCATCTTTGTTGACATCAGTAACAACGGCTAGGACCAACTGGAAAGGTAATGGGGTGAGGAGAAAGGTTTGGTTATAGGAACCGTGGCTGGGGTCTGTGAGCTTTAATGGGGGAGATCATATTCAAGGAAAGGGTTCCCTTCTAAGGCTGGTCTTCCAGTGGCTGGTGGACTCCTCCACCAGCTTCCTTTCCACAGCCTCTTTCAATACAAGTCTCCTAAAGCTACACAGCCACAGGGTCTGCTGGGAGGACAAAGGGGAAAGTGGGGGAAATGTGGCCCCTTTCTCTACCACAAAGTCAGCTAGATCCAGTACTCTGCCTCCGTTTTGGCTTGGCATGTTGGCAGAGCAATCATTTGCAATTCTTTACCCACTCCTTCCCAGGACTGCAGCTGCCCGGAGCTGGGGGTAAGGAATGAGCCTTGAAGATGCCTATGCACCCATGCTTCCTGGCGTCTCCCCCAACCCCTCAACACAACGTCCAAGAGTCCAGAGTTACCAGGAACAAAACAAGCATACAGGAGTAAGTTCACAGGGAGCTTCTTTTGCGGGGCATTTCCTAAGTTAATCACTGGGCAGACACCCACTGAGGAGGATCTGGGAGCAGCAAGAAGGATTGCAGAGCCTTGGCGACAGAATCCTGGCGGCCACCAATGTGACTGGCCCCGGAGCAAGGAATCTCTCCGAGGCCGCTCTTCATACATAGGGCCTGGCTTGGACACACAACCTTTCAGATATCTATGATTACTACGGTGCACAGGGACTGCACTAGCACGCTGCGCAGGGAAAACTGCCTTTCTAAGCAAGCACGCCTTAGCCTGGGCTACCTCCAGTCAAAGGATCCAGCTAATCGCTAAGTCAGATCGCGCCCAGGCCAGGGCTCTCGCGCTACCCGCCCCGATCCCAGGTGGCCCATTGGCACCGGTGGCCGCTCTGGTGCTCCTGGAGAGCCTGTACGGCAACCCGGAGAGGTCTTTAAGCGTCGCGGGTCCGCCTCTCTCCCCAGCCCTCTTTGTTTTCCAAATACTCCAGCGCTGACGTCATCGAGCTGGACAGCAGACTGCATTCTTTCTAAGTGAGAGCCAGTTCGTGGCTCCGGAGAGGATTTTCCAAGGAAGACAAAGGGGAATTCTTGAGCTAGTTGGGGGCAAAGACACCTGTATCCCCAACCTAGACAAAGCAGCCACGAAAGCCCTGCAATCCAAGAGACGCCTACGGCCTCTTTTCCAGCCTCATGCTCCACCTAGATCCACAACCCCAAGCACCGACCCTCTTTCTGCCCCTTCTCCAGCCCCAGGGTATCGAAGTACCCTCAAAGCCCACGGCGCGGGAACACCCCTGATGGACAGATCTCCCCTAAGATCGATCCTCGAAAGGACGCACTGCACCCTCTGCGCACCTCGGAGGCTCGGTCACCCCAGCTCCGGTTCCCAGCCGAGGCCCGGTTGCTCCGAGAGTCGGGGTGCAGCTGGAGCGCGTCCTCACCAGCCTCGCGCGCTGCGCGGATCGGACAGCGGGGCTGCCTCGCTTACCGCTGCGGCCCACGGCTGCCCGGCGCGCTCAGCCCCGACGTCCCAGCCCGGCTAGGCACGGCTCGGTGGCGGAGGTGTGCACTCGGCGGTGGCGCCGACGCTCTGGCTACTCGCTCCCGAGCGCGCCGCCCCAGAGTCGGCCCGCGCGGGAGGCGGCTGCTATGCCAGGAATGCGAGAGTTTCAGGTTCCCCCTCGGGATCAAAGCGAACCACAAATAACCTCTCTGCGCGCCTCCCTCCTCCGCCCTCCGCCTCCTCCCGCTCCCCACCCGGCCCCCGCCTTCCTCCCGGGAGGCGGCGCTGCGGCTGGCGGCTCCGCTGGCCTCGGACGGGTCCCCTCGCCACCTTGGGCCCTCGCGGTCGCGCAGAGTCCCCTGCCCCCGCTCTGGCTGTGCTGTTGGAGCTGTTGGAGAGGTCTTTCCAACTCGGCCCTTCCCTTGATCCCCCTCCACCACCGCTGCCCTGTTCTCACCCGTCATCCCTAAATGCATCGCAGGATGACTCTCAAGAATGTGCCTCGCGTGTGCCTCGGGTTGCTGCGGGAGCGGCTCCCGCACTGTGGGATGGCGGGAGCACTGCAGGGCTGTCCACATCCGCCCTGCATAGGGACCATGCCTCCGGCGAACAGATGCTTCGCCTTCCAGCTGCCCAACCTCGCTCCTAACGCGTTTCACCCCCCAGCGGCAAGCTTTGAATTGCACTTTTATTGTTTACAAACACCTTCGCCAGTTCTTTTAGGACCTGCCTCTACAGGAAGTGTAAATCTGGATTGGAAATATGGTAGATTTGACCCACTACTGGGTCCTCTTCCCCGAGGTAGTACTTGGCTCCTGTTTAAGCAGGTTACCACCAGCTTTTCACTCAGTCGTTCGATCCAGTTGCCCTGTAAAGGTGTTTTACTGTCATCCCAGTTATGAATAGGAAACCAAGGCTGAGCGTGCTTAAGCGGTTCACCTAGGATCATACGGAGTAACTGATGGAGCTAGGTCCCTCCCTTGGCCCCCGGAATCCGGGCTTCCCGGATGGGCAGGATAGGCCTGGAGGGTTCCTGCTTCCACCTGCTTGCTCCCAGTTTGTCTCTTCCACCTCCTCCCACACCCCGCCACTCCTCTTTTGTGTCCACTTCTCTGGTTTTTATTGTTCCGCCGCAACGTGGAATCTGACTCTGGCTCCTTATACCTTCCCAAGAGGCTGTGCCTAGGAATCCGGTTCTTCTGCAAGGCTGCTCTGACTTCCATCCTCTCCCCGCCACCCCCCCCCCCCCCCCCCCCCATCCCCTCAGAGCTCTAGGTGGCATTCCTTAGGCCCATTCACCTGGAGTCAGGGCTGTTTGCTGCTGGCTGCATCCTACCTCTGCACAGAGGTCTCAATTCCCAGGTTTGCTAAAAGAAACAGGGACAAGAAACTTTTGTAAGTTCAATTGCCAGGGACAATGCATATTTTTAACAACCCCTGCCGCGCGTGTGCATATGTGTGTGTGTGTGTGTGTGTGTGTGTGTGTGTGTGCTACTTAAAAGCCAAACGTTGCTTTTCAGATAGTGATTGGATCTGAGACAAATGAAAAAAAAAAAAAGTTCCAAGCTGAGGGCCCACCCCACAGAGAAGCTGTGGCCCCATACAATTGTCCTCACCTGGCGATAGTAGGTAGAGTTTTATGACAAGGATGAGAGAAGAGGTTCCCAGGTGTCCTCACTTCATGGACAGCATTCTTGGAAATGCTTGGTGGAGGTATGTATGAGAGTGGGCACAGGCATGCCGCCCTCTGGGGTTGCAAAATCAGGGAAAAGGCCACATGGTTCAGTCCTGTTTCACTGGCATTTGGAGGGGCACCTAACAAAAATGCTTGGCAAGTAAGCATTCCTGAAATAGTTGCAGAAACGGGCCAGTTCAAGGCAGCTAGCGTCCAGAGCTACATTTGGAGTGGGCAAGCCTGCTGCAGACCAAGACCGGCCCTGTCAGCTTATGTCTATGGTCCAGAGGGACAGAGTAGGGTGCTGGATCATCAGATGGAGTTTATACACACTTTTCTCTGCAAGATGGATGGAGGGCGGGCCTCCCAGACAGAACCAGGCCCAGGGCCTCAGTGGAACCTGTCTGAGCTGGCAGCCACACCTGGCTCTCAGGGTAGTTTAATGAGCTCAAAGATACCTGGGGAAGATACGCACAGGTGGGCAATAGGCTGGCCAGATTGCTTGTATGTAACCGTCTTTGCTGACAGCAAGGAGAAAGAAGGCTCAGTAGTGAGCCAAGGCTTCCTACCTCACCTTTGTCTCTCTGGCTTATTCTCCCCACCCCCAGCAGGTAATGATTTCTCCCAGATGACACTGGGGCTGTCTGGGTTTGGAATTCTGCCCAGGAAAGCTGCAGAGCTGACCCAATTCTCAGAGAAAGCCTTGGCTTCTGAGAGTGCGGCTCACAGGGGTGTGGCTGCATCAGAGGTGTGTCCAGGATTTTGTAAGCAGTCTTGACACCCAGACCCTCCAGCTGGAATGTGAAGGCGGGTCCTCAGTGTGACACCCCCGCCACCCTTGGTGAGCTGAGAACTTTCTCCTTTCCAAGTGGTTGATTGTAGAGAGGTGGGTGGGTTCTGGGCAACATCAAAGGAAAACAGCTAATTGTGAAATTCCACTTTCCAGCCTCCCCTGACACTCCCTTTAACAGGCTATGGGAACAGGAAGCCTACTAGAATCTGGGACAGGAAGAAAATCACCGGAAGAGCCAATGTACGTGCCACTGAGATGTGAGGTGGAAATACTAAAACTCTGTTCCAAGCACTGAAGAGCCAAGCCAGAGTCTTCTGTGTTCCCAACACCACTGTCTCCTGGCTTCCCACCCTTCCCACCACCACTGCCTCTGGGTATTATCTCCCAAGTCCAGTCTTCCACCACTGTCCCGTTTTCTTTTTGTCCCCAGGCCTCAGGTCTGTGATCTCTCACTGGATTGGAGAGGCTATATTTGGGAGGGTTAAATCCTCTGAAGATGGAGCACTTGTAACATTATTGATGGAGCGCTTGTAAATTATTCACCCCATATTGGTGAAGGTATGAAGGAACCCCAACTTTCCAAGCTGCACACACTTCCTGAGCCTCTGGCCATCCTCTGCAGTGGAGTCTTTGTTTTGGGGGCAGAGGACTGGGACTTTACTTGCAAATGGTGAAGTCATAGAATAGGGAGGGAGCTTTGCACGTGGCTCCCTTTCCTTCCCATTCTCTGGGGTCCATGAGAGCCCAGACCCTCCATGAGCCCAGTTCTCCATGGAAGACATGTCTAATAGATGTTGATGATGACTATGAGGAGAAACTGCAGAAGTGCACTGTTCAGTTTAGTCTTCTCTAGGTAACTGTCACACGGAGGACAAGGATTGGAGACCAGAACTAAGAGCACTTTCAGGCCTGTGAATCCAGACAGATCAATTCAGCCCTTGGCACCTACATTTTCTATGACACTGCCTTGTGCTATGGGTGCTGATTTAGTTGGTGAACCATTGCTGCCCAGAAAGATCCTTTACTCTTGGCAAGAGGCTGAAGCAAATATGGGGAGGCCCTGGGTTTGTAGTCTTTGTAGGAAAGAGCCCTGGGTAGAGTTTTGTGACACAGGGCAGTGTGATAGAAGAGGGACCCCCAGTGGGAGGCATCTCAGCTCCTGGCTCAGTGATCTAAGGGGGTCTTGGATCTGGGGTAGGAAGTTGGGGATGGGGTGGTGATTAAAATTCCATCCAGGGATAGATGTTTGCTAGACTCTTTTTAAGAATAGGCTAATAGAGCCGGGTGTGGTGGTACACACCTTTAATCCCAGCACTAGGGAGGCAGAGGCAGGTGAATCTCTGTGAGATAGAGGCCAGCCTGGTCTACATAGGGAGTTTCAGACCAGCTGAGGCTACAGGGAGACCCTAAAAGAGGCTGTAGATGTAGTTCTGTTTTTTAGTGTTCCTCCCATTTCAGCCTCTCCTGGGCTTTCACAAGGTCTTCAAAGAAACATGGCCATTAACACAAACAACTTTACACTGAGGAAACTGCATTCACTCACTCATTCACCCCTCCACACTTCTATTCTGTCACACATTTCATACATGCATTCGAACATTTCCTGCGCACGCACTCTGAGAGACCCCCTACGAACCAAAGGGGTATCCGTCCTTGTGGGTTTCAGGGGCCATAGGCACAGGAGAGAAAGAGGTAAGTACACTGGAAAGTGGGAAGTTCTTCCCAGGGAGAACGCACCAGTGCATGGAAGAAGGTGGTCAAGGCAGGCTTCTTGAGGAAGTGTTTTTTAAGCTGAGTCCTGAAAGCCTGGTTAGACTGTGAGGTGTCTTCCCCAGGTTCTGTAGAACCTGCCCCAGTAACCTCCTGCCTCAGCCACGTTCCAGTCCAAAGAGGCAATCACTTAAAACTCCTTTAAATAGTCTATATTTACACCTAAATATATTTCTAAAACAAATATTCTTCTATTTCATTATATTTCTGGCTTAAAATATTACCTACTTCCTTCCTACCATGAAAGTTTAGGGTTACGCACACATGCACACACACTTATCTTTTGACATGGCCAAATGACCTTTTTGGTTAAATTACTATCCAATGTTTAGGTCATTGTGACCGTGTCAGTATTGTTCATAGCTCAATCAAATACCATGTCAGGAGTATATTTCTTTTCTTAAACAACTTTTGTTTTTACTAGCATTGGGTGTTGCCCCATTTTCCGTTTGCTGGATGTATTTAGCATTAATTTGTACCCAAATACAACTCTGAAGTTTCCCTTAATGAACGTCAGGAATTGGTTATTGGTTGGTGTTCTGTCAAGCTGGCTCAGTCTTGGTGGCATGGACCACGCAGTCATAGGACAGTGGGTTCAACCAATAGCTTTTTTTCTTGAGCTCTTTCTGTCTTTATTGCAAGCTCCCCCTTAATTCACTTCTGCATTTCTTGAACTTTTTGTCTTCCGCTTTCTGGTTTCTGTCTTGTAGCATCCCTAAGAATAGATCTGTGGAAGGCAAATTTCAAGGAAGCAGTTTTAGTTTCAAAGCATCTTTAAAAAATTATTAATGTGTATTTGTATGTGATTGCATGTATGTATACTATGTGTATGTGGGTACCTGTGAAGGCCAGATGAGGGTTTTGGAGCCCCTAAAGCTAGAGTTATAGGTGGTTGTGAGCCACCTGATGTTGGTGCTAGAAACTGAATTCAGTTTCTTTGCGAGTGCAGTATGTGCTCTTAACTGCTGAGCCACCTTTCCAGCCTCCAAAGCGTCTTTATTTATCTCTTCACAATCGTCACAATGGAGATATGGCTGGGTATTGAATTCTAGGTCAGAAAGCATTTCCCCTCTGTATTCGGTAGGAGTTGCTTCAGTCTTCTTGCTGCTAGTGCTGTTATTGAGAAAAGTGTGATCCCAGCTGTGGATCCCTGCGCATAAACTCTTTTCTCTTTCTCTGGAAGCTTTCAGAATTTTCTCTGCATGCCTGATCCTGGAATACATATGATGTGTATGTATATTTTTGTCTTTTGTTATCCTTAATGGGGCCCTTTCACTTGGCACTTCATGCCTCTAAGCTCTGGGATTGTCTCATACCATTTTTGCTTTTTGAGCCAGGCTCTCACTCTGTAGTCTGGGCTAGCCTAGAACTCTCTTTGTAGCCCACACTAGCCTTGAACTCATGGTGATCCTCCTGCTTCTGCCTAATGATGGGATTGCCAGGTGTGAGCCACCACATATGGTTGATCATGCTGCTTCTCTTCTGGAAGTTCATTTGTTTGAATGTTAAAACTTCCAAAATGGTCATCAGATTTTTTTTTAATATTTAAAACTTATTTTCATTTTATGTATATAAATGTATTGTCTGCATGTAAGTGCACCCATGTTGTGCAAAGCCAGAAGAGGACAGAAGAGAGCATTGGATCCCCTGGAAATGGAGTTACAGACACTTGTTAGCTACCATTTAGATTCTGGAACTCGAACCCAGGTCCTCTGCAAGAGCAGCCAGTGCTTTTAATTACTGAGCCATCTCTCCAGCCCATTTTATGTCTATTTTGGTGTCTGTTTTTAGTAGTTACAGCTTCCCTCAAATGACTTTTATTCTTGACTATCCGATCTTGTTTAAGAGTAAGGCATTTAAGGGCTTAGGGGATGGCTCAGAGGGTAAAGTATTTGCTATGCAAGCATTAGGACCTGAGTTCAAATTCCCAGTATCGACAGAAAAGCAAGACAATACAAGTAACCCCCAAGGAGCAGAGTGTGTAAGGGGGATGGGGGATGGCAACAGATGTATCTTGGGGACTCATTGACTAGACAGTGCAGTCTAAACAGTGAACTTGAGGGCTGGAGAGATCGCTCGGTGGTTAAGAGCACTCTTGCAGAAGACCTGGGTTTAGCTCCAAGGACCCACATGGTGGCTAACAACCCTCCGTAACTTCCAGGGGATCTGACACCGTCCTCCAACCTCTTCGGGCATTGCAGGACACAAGTACACTTACAAACACACAAGCAATACACTCATACACATGAAATAAAAATAATAAATAAAATATTTTTTAAAAAAGAAATCCAAACTGAATTTAGGTTCAGTAAGAGACCCTTAAAAAGTAATGTGGGTAGTGCTAGAGGAAGACAGCAAAGTCGACCTCTGGCTTTCACATGAGCATGCACATATATTTACACACAGGCACAGTGAGGGGTCTAGTAGTGATATGCCTGGTGTTGGGGCAGTTGGTTTCTTAGTCTCTCAGGAAAAGGATAGGAGCGGGCTGTGTCCTGGTCTTGGGGACCCAGGCAAGGTCTAAGAGCAAGTAGGGTCATTTCTCTTGGGTTTCTGGTGAAGGGAATAAGCTCTGCTGCTTTCTACATCCTCACAGGAGTAGGGAGCAGGCTTGGAGGAAGCTGAAGGGGGTCTGGGGAGTGAGCCATGCCAGGCCCCTGCAGCTCTCCTCAGCACCTCAGTCTCTCCAGACGTTAACCCTGTGACTTGGCAGCACGAAGTGATGCGGACTGAAACGTTCATCTCCCTCTCTTTGCGTTTGCAGTCTCCCCTTGCCGCCTCTTCCCGGCATCCGGTGCCTCCGTTTCCTGAGATTGTCTGAGGCTCTGCTGACTTAGCATCTCCTCCTCTTCAGACACCCAGTGGTGGGGAGAAAGTGGGAGCTTCGTTCCAGGATGTTCTTGACACTCTGTTCCAGCAAGAACCTTCTTCAGACCTTCTTTGGCTGAGGGCAGGGTTTGTTTCCTTTGCTCTTTGCTTCCGGTAGGCCCGGCTTGGGACAGAGCCAGATGCAGTTGTCTGCCGCAGTCTCCTCCCAGGTACATTCCTTTAGGTTTTTCCCACTGTGCTAGCTCATTCCTGGCCCTGTCAGGGCAGGGTACCGGCAAACTCAGGGTTGTTCGGCTGGTTCTACCACTTCAGAGTCTGCTTTCCTTGCTGTAGCCTGGTTCCCATGCATCCAGGGATAAGCCTGGGGGTGGGGCACTTCTGTGAATCTGGAACTCTAGACCATAGAGGCAGGATACCCATTCAATGTCTCTGAATTCCCAGGCCAAAGACATGACCTTGGAAAGAAAGACTCAAGGCCTAAAATTTTAGAGGCCTAAGACTGAGCCTGCGACTCAGGGGACTCGTGGCAGTCTGAGGGGACTCAAGGCTGCCCACAGACAAGCCTTGCCTTAATTAAAGCTGGCCATGCAGGAGCAGGCTGGCCCCTTTTCTCTTGTACTCACAGGAGAGGTGTGATGAGGCTTTTCTTTTTCTCAGACTGGCCCACCTTTTGCTGTCTCCCGAGGGTTCAGTCTCTTAGAATCTCTTTGGAAGGGTTTTGTTGTTTGGCCAGGCAGGGCTGGGGCTGGAGTCTCTTGGGAGACATGATACAGCCTGGTTTATTTTGTGCAGAGACTCTCCGGGTATCATATGGGTGCACCTGCCGAAAATGCTGGGAAGACTCCGGGGTCAGCAGTCCTCCTTTACAGACTCACAGCCGCACAGACCTGTGTGAAGAGACCACAAGTGCCTGTAGGAAAGAGTTGTATACATGAAAGCAGGTATGCACACCTGTGCACACACCCTGAAGGCCAGAATGGGTGTTGGGTATCCTCCTCTATAACTCTCCATAGTCTCATTCCTGAACCTGGTGCTCACATTTTCTCAGCTAAGCTGGAAGCCAGCAAGCTCCAGTGATCCTTATGTTCCCATTCCATCAGAGCTGAAGTTACAGGCATTTGTAGGGACCCCCAGCTTGTCATGTGGGTGCTGGAATCCAAGCTCTGGTTCTCATGATTACAGAGCATACACTGTTAAGGGGAGCCATCTCTTAGCTCCCCTTTTCCAGAATTTTGTATGATGGAATCATTATTTACATAACATGTAGTCGTTTGTATATGCTTCATTTTTTCTTGAGATAGAGTCTTGTGTAGCCCAGGTTGACCCTGAACTCACTTTGAGACTCTCCTTGAACTCCTGATCTCTCCCAAGTGCTGTGATTATGGGTATGCACCACCAGGCCTACTTTATTTTGCATGTGATTTTATTACTTTCATATCATATTATTAGTTTTAGATTCATTCAAGCTATGTTAAAATCTCATGCCCTTTATGTATTTTTTAGTTTTTATTTTTTATATGTATGAGTTTTTGCTTGCATGTAGGTAAGTACACCCATATCGTGCAATGTCCTCAGAGTCAGAAGAAGGGGTTGGATCCCCTGGAACTAGTGTTACAGATGGTTGTTAGCTGCCATATCGGTGCTGGGAATCAAACCCAGGTCCTCTGCAAGAGCACTTAGTGCTCTTAACCCCTGAGCCATCTTTCCAGTTCTTATCTCATGCCTTTTAATTGCTGAGTAATATTCCATAGTATGGATATACCGCAGTTTGTAGACATGTGTATTGTTTCCATGTACGCATGTCATACAATGCCTATGGAGGCCAGAGAAGGGTGTCAGAACTCCTGAAACTGGAGTTACAGACAGCTAGACAGTTATTAGCTGCCATGTGAGTGCTGGGAACTGAACCCCAGTCCTCTGTGAGAACAGCTAGTGCTCTTAACTGCTGAGCCATCTCTCCCCCCTGTATTGACTACTTTTTTATTGTTGTTTGTTTTTGAGACAAGGCCTTCCTGTAGCCCTAGCTGACCTGGAATTCACTTTGTAGAGTAGGCTGGCCGCTCTTTCATGAGGAGCCCCTTGCCTCTGCCTCCCAAGTGTTGGAATTAAAGGTGTGTGCCAACACAACCTGCCAACCATTTGAGTCATCATTGACCACTTACATATCACTTCTTAAAATTAACTTAGGTGGAGGCAGGCGAACCTCTATGAGTTTAAGGCCAGCCTGGTCTACATAGCAAGTTCCAGGCCAGCTGGGGCTACAGGGAGACCATGTCTCAACAAAACAAAACAACAAAACAAAACAAAAAAAATTAACTTATCAGCCTAAATGATTTCCCATTTAAAACTGTTTCCTTTTTCTTTTATTTATTATTTTTATTTTATGTGTATAAGTGTATTGCCTGCATGTATGTAAGTGCACCATGTCCTGCAATGCTTGAGGAAATCAGAAGAGAGTGTCTGATACCCTGTAATGGGAGTTAGAGACCGTTATTTACTGCCATGTGGGTGCTGGGAATTGAACCTGGGTCCTCTGCAAGAGTAGCCTGAGCTCTTAACTTCTGAGCCATCTGTCCAGCCCCCTACAGCTGTTTCTTTTTAATGTTTTCCCTATGTTTTAGAACACAAGTTCTTTATGAGTTCATGATTTGCCTTTATTCATTTATTTTCTTTTTCTTTTCTTAAACTTTTCTATTACATTTCAATTTATTTATGGGGGGTGCTGTGCACATGCCGTGGTGCATGAGTGGAGATCAGAGGACAACTTGTGGGAAACAGTTCTCTCTTTCCACCATGAAGAGTGAACTGAGGGTGTCAGGCTTAGTGGTAAGTGCCTTTACCCACTGAGCCATTTAGTTGGCACTCTTGTCTTTTTTTCTTTAACTGTTAATGAACCACTGACTCCTTGGGCAACCTTGGACAAGTGACCTGTGACTTAACCTCTCCAAGAATAAATAAACTAAGAATACAAAGTGTTATTTATGGGTCCCAGCAGCTTGGCGGTCAGACTAGTGGTGGCAGTCAGTTAGCTGGCTTTGAGAAGGCTGTCAATGTCACCACAGCCCATACATTCAGTCCATGCCCTCCCCTGCCACCACAACACCCAAGAAGGTCATCTTAATAGAAGGGGCAAGTGAGATCTTCTGGGTTGTCAGCTAAAGCCAGGCTCATGAAAATGGGGCGTGGGGCAGGGAACAGCAGGAAAGGATAAATCGGGGGTGGGGTGGGGGAGTGCAAATGAAAAGGGTAATGGGGCTGGACAGATGGAGATGACTTGGCAGTTAAGAGAGGTAGGAGTGCGTACTGTTCTTCCAGAGGACCCGAGTTAGGTGAACAGCCGCCTGAAACTCCACGGGGCTCTGACACCTTTGGCCTCCGTGGACACCTGCAGCCCCGTGCACATACACACGCAGAGACACATACATAATTTAAAACAAAATAAAATCTTTTTTTAAAAGGGGAGCAGGCAGGAAGGTTAACCAAGAAACTAAAGAGGCTTTATCTGTAGCCGTGGATGAAGCAAGCAGGAAAGGAAAAGGACGGATGGCTAGCAGGGTCACCTTGAACAATGATACAGAGCACTTTTTTGCACCTCGGGCTAGTCTCAAGCTCACTATGTATTCAGGATGATGTTTAACTGATTCTCCTGCCTCTACCTCCTGAGTGCTAGAATCACAGGTAAATGCCACCATGCCTGTTTTACACAGTGCTGGGGATTGAACCTAGAGCCTCCTGCATGTTAGGTAAGTACTCTGCCAACTGAGCTACATCCTCAGCCCCAGAAGAATATCTTATAGAAACCATTTTGTATGGGTCAATTCTTTAATAGCTTAGTAACGCTAAGAATTTTTATTTATTTATTTATTTATTTATTTATTTATTTATTTTTTTTTTTTTTTAAGACAGGATCTCCTTTTAGCCCCAGCTATCCAGCTATCCTGGAACTCACTGTGCTATGTATGCCAGGCTGACTTCTACCTCACAGAGATCCCTGTCTCTGTTTCCCAAGTGCTGGAATCAAAGGCATGAGCCACCACACACAGCCTTCTAAGAACATTTTTAAGAAGAAAGGAATTTCATCTTGTCACTTTTTTTAAGTGTAAAAACTTTCCTTTTTCAGTGAAATTATCTGCTGGTTGTTTAATTTTTGGTTAGACCAGAAAAATAGCAGGATATTGGATAGCAGGTTTTGACTGTCTCGTATGTCTGCTTAACACCCCATGGATGGGGGACTGATTTCATCTCTTAGAACACATAGCATACCAAGTTTCAATTTATTATGTCTTCAATACCATGAAGCTGTGCATGGTGGGGCTGGGCTACAAAGTAAATTTGAGCTCAGCCTGGGCTACATGAGACCCTGTTTCAGAAAACCAAACAAGGGGTAGGGAACATGGAGATACCTCAGGGGGTAAAAGTGATTGACTTGCAAACCCGAGTTTGATACCCAGAAGCCGTGTAACAAACTGGATTCAGTGGTATGCATCTATAATACCAGCATTCCTATGGTGAAATGGAAGGAGAATTGCCCTGTAGCTCATGGACTAGTGACCTTGGAGTATGCTGTCCAGCAGAAACAACAGGAGAGACCCTGCTTCAACAACACAGAAGACAAGAACCAACTCCAGAAATGCCCACATTCTTTCTCTCCCATACACACAAATAAATACTTTAAAAACATTTTTGAAAGAATGGTTTTAAAAAGCCAACAACAGCCTGGTGTGGTGGCACATGCCTTTAATTCTAGCACTTGGGAGGTAGAGGCAGGCGGATGTCTGAATTCAAGGTCAGCCTGGTCTACATAGAGAGATCCTGCCTCCAAACAAACAAACAAACAAACAAACAACACAAAGAGCCCACGTACAAAAAACACTGACAACAAAAACCAAACCAAATAAAATAAAGCAAAAACCAATCTGCAATCACTTCTGCCCCATGTTGTTTTTAGTAGGATTGTTTCTAAAAGAAACTTTGATCTTGGCTCTCTTCTTCAAAGTGTGTCTGTGGCTTCTGTGGTAAAGGTGGCTGTTTTCTAATGACCTTGTTAATGTGCTGTGAGAGATGGAAAACCTGAGAAATTTGAATTTGTAGTGACTGTGATATTACATTGTGAGTTGGCAGGAAGAAGGACTGGTCTGCTCCTTCGGGTGTGGCGTACACCTGTAATTCTTGCACTCCACTTGAGAAGTGGAGGCAGGAGGACCAGATGCTCAAATTCATCCTTGGCTACACAGCAAGCTCCAGACCAGCCCGAGTTCATGAGAACAGTCTCAAAACAAAAACAAAAATTCCCACAAAAATCGTGTACAAATGGTGATGTCTGTGTGTGCTGATTCTCAAAACCAGAAACAAAGCCTCGACTCAGAAAGAAAAAAACATGTTACATAACCATAGATTTGTTATGAGAATTAATGAATTCATAACAGTCTAAGATGTGCCCCTCTGGCCAGGCTGGAGGGGACTGCTGTTTGCGATGATGCTGGACAATGAAGATGCAGGGCTGAGCCACTGAATAGATGCTTAGGGCCACTGATGGTGTTGTTTGACAGGTCTCCGGTGCCAGGCTGTGTAGTTGATGTGTGCTCAGAAAGAGCTAGGTAGGCTTCATCTGGGATGTATGTGTCAAATACTCCAGGCCAGTAGCCTTTAAATATTTCCTTACATATACCTAATAGTTTGGAAACATTTTATTCCCTAAATTTTTTTTTTTTTTTTTTAGTCTTTTTGTGTTTTTGTAGCTTCAGCTGGCCTGGGCTCATAGTAGTGCATGCCTTTAATCTCATCACTTGGGAAGCAGAGGCAGGAGGATTTCTGTGAGATCCAGGCCAGCCTGGACTACATATCAAGTTCTAGGTCAGGCAGCTGCACAGTGAGACACTGTCTCAAAGAAAAAAGAAGAAGCAGAAATTCTAATTAGTTATTTTTCTCTTTGAAATTGTATCTCTATATTCTTTTCCTACATGAATCTTATTTTTTTAAATAGAACTTTTGCCTGCATGTATGTAAGTGTACCATGTAGGTGCCTGGTGCCCTCAGAGTCCAGAAGAGGGCATCAGATCCCCTAGAACTGGAGTTAAGGTGTTGGCTGAACTGGGGGTGCTGGGAACCAAACCCAGGTTCTCTGGTAGAGTGTGTGTGTGTGTGTGTGTGTGTGTGTATCTGTTTTATGTATGTGTGTGGAATATATGCATATGTGTGGAGGCCAGAGGTCAATTGAAGCTAAAACTTACTCGTTTGGCTAGACTGACTAGTCACAAAACCCTAGGGAATCCTTGTATCTCCTTCCTCTCCAGTGTTGAGATTATGGAGCATGTCACTTCCATTGTTTCAGCCTGAGTATTGGCGTTCTGAACTCACAACAATCCCTATTTACTGAGCCACCTTTCTAGTCTCAGAATAAACCATTTGTAACTGAGTTTTGTGATGGTCATTAGTATACAGTGGATCAAAATACAAGCATGTAAGGCTGGAGAGCTGGCTCAGGGGATAAGGGCTCTTGCTCGGCAAGCATGAGGACCTGATTTGGAATCCCCAGCACCCACATAAGAAGCTGGGCCTGTGTATGCCTGTAATTCTGGCATTGAGGGGCAGAGACAGGCAGATCCCTAGAGCTCACAGCCAGCCTAACCCAAATGGCAAGCTTCTGGTTCAGTGAGAGACCCCCCCCCATCTCAAGGGAAGGCCATGGTGAGCACAGGGGAAGACACCCATTGTCCTGCTCTGGCCTCTAAATGTACTGTGTGGGCACACACACTTGCATACTCACATACATGCACCACACACATACATACATATACACACAGCACACCTCACACATATACCTGGCTCTTTTGACCCTAGCCTTCTTGCTACTTGGAAAGAAGACCCGATAGCAAGAGCTATGTTTATCTTACAACAGTTCGGGTATACATCATATACCTGAACACTCACCTGCACACACCTCACACACACATATATACCATATACCTGCACACTCAACTGCATACACCATACACACAGCACACACACCACACACACCTGCACACTGACGAATGCATGCACTACACATACAGCACACACACCTACACACACATATGCAACAGACATGTTACACATTTGGCAAAACAATTATGATAGGACCCTCTCTTTCCAATGGTGTGGATGAGTGCTGTAAGTGTCCTCCTGGATCTTGACATGAAGTCAGCAGATGGGTAGTCTAGTGATGGGAAGCTCCACAGACCATTCGGTACCCCAGTGTATTTTAATCTTCCTGCACCTTCATCCCTTAGCCCCTGCCTCACTGTTGTAAGATAAACATAGCTCCTGCTATCAGGTCTTCTTTCCAAGTAGCAAGAAGGCTAGGGTCAAAAGAGCCAGGAAAAAGAATAAATGAATGCCCCTAAAATAACCGCCTTAGAAATAAAAATATAGGGCTGGAGAGATGGTTCAGTGGTTAAGAGCACTGGCTGCTCTTGCAGAGGACCCAGGTTCTATTCCCAGCACCCACACGGTAGCTAACAGTTGTCTGTAACTCCAGTTTCAGGAGATCCATTGGCCTCTTTTGACCTCTAGCATTGCATGACACTTGTGCACTTACATACATGCAGGCAATACACTTGTACACATAAAAAAAATAAAATGTTTTAAAAAATAAAAATTTAAAGGGGGTGAAGAGAGATAGCTCAATGTATAAAGTGCTTGCTGTGTAAGCATGATAAGGGCTTAAGTTCAGAGCCCCAGCTCCCATTTAAAATCCAGTTGCAGTCGCGTGTGCCTGTAATCACACACACACACACAGCCCGACACACAAACAAACTGACAGTCCTTGGCTTTAGGGGAACTTTTAGCCAAATTATGCATAAAGAAATTACCAATTCATGTGGGATTCTGTCCACCAGCCTGCTATTTGCCTATTGATCACTTTCGGACTTTTGATTCTAGGTAGGATTCTATGAAGAACAGGCTATAGTCTGGGCTGGATACAAAGTTCAACTCTCTCTCTCTCTCTCTCTCTCTCTCTCTCTCTCTCTCTCTCATCCTCTGAATCAATGTTGGTGTAGCACCCCATCATTTTCACTGTATTCCATTCATTAAGAACACATTACTAGGATCACAGAATGCTCAAAGGAAAAGGACCGCGTATGGTAGAAATCGGGAGTAAGGACTGTTGGGAGCCATGTTAAAGGCTGCCAACCACATCTGACATTGAATCAGTTTTTTAATGAATGAGTGAATGACTGAATGAAAGAATGAGTGAATAAGCAAGTGAATAAAAGAATGATGAGTGAATGAACAAGTCAATGAATGAATGAATGAGTGAGAAAATGAATAAATAAATGAGCGAATGAATAGACACATGAGAAAGTGGATAAATTGCATGAATGAATAAGTCAGTGAGTGAATGAATGGATTTGGGTAGACACTGAGGAAGAACAGAGACAGGAAAGGCCTGCTGCTAAGAAATGGCTTCCTTTGTACACCAGCAAGCCAGGGGCCAGGGGAACTGAGCTCACCATGTTCCCAGACTGCTTAGCTCCCACTCTGACTCCATCCTCCTCATCTACCCACAATTGCATGTGTGTACACAACATACAGACAGGAGGACAATTCATCTCTCAGAGAGATGGAGAAACTGGCCTACTTCCATGTTGGGCCTAGAGTTTTGTGAATTTCTTTCAGAGGAAAGACTGGGGGATTTTCAGTTTTTGAAAAGCACATTTTCCCCGCTCACACAGCTGAAATTAGGCTGAGCACTCCCCTGCTGGAATTTTCCAACACTTTTCCGTTTCCCAAATAGGGAAACAGCAGTGGACAAAGCAGGGCTTGTTCTTTGGGGAGGAAGGAGCTATATCTGCAGCCTACTTTGTGTGTTCAGCAAGAGCTGGCGCTTCAAGGATACAGAAGAAATGGAAACAGGAGATGTCCTCCCCAGGATGCATGGCTTCAAGGAGG